AGATTATGGTTGAAGCTGATGTATTCAGTGACGTGCCAGAGGTGTGTGACATGGTAGGGCTTGCTAAAATAAGTAACATGATAAACTTAAAGTCTCACTGACATGGTTTGCACTTGAATCATAGAATGGTTTAGGCTGGAAGGGACCTTAAAGACCACCTAGTTCCAACCCCCTGCCATGGGCAGGGACACCTTCCACTAGACCAGGTTGCTCAAAGCCTCATCCAGCCTGGCCTTGAACACTTCCAGGGATGGGGCATCCACAGCTTCTCTGGGCAACCTGGGCCAGTGCCTCACCACCCTCTCCATGAAGAACTTCCTGCTATCTAATCTAAACCTCCTCACTTTCAGTGAGAAAGCCAATTAAAAAAAAAAAAAAAAAAAAAAAAAGAAAAAAAGAAAAAAAAGAAAGGGAATATTCCATTCCAAGAGCAGAGTTAATACAAAAGCCTACCTCAGAAAAAAACACCCCTGCACTGTAACGCCCACATGAATGACAAAGCAGTCTATCCTGGCACAGAGATTTATGTACACACAAGATTTAAGCCTCACAGTCCAAACCAAGAGGCTCATCCACACTGAAGCACTGTTAACATCATTGCTCTTCAGTATCTTCATTCTTTTACATGAAAATCAACTGCTAAATCAAAGGTTAAAATGTAAAGAGAGTTTCTTTCACTTCAGAAATCACAATAAAAACAAATAGCTCAGCATAATCTAGAACACCTACCAGCATCTGGGAGGGACCAGGGCTTTCCTCCCTGTGGAGAAGACAAAAGTTAAGGCTGAAGTTCATAACACTCTGCTAATTTCTAAACGGGCAACCATCCCAGTTACAAACGAAAATACTGCATTTTACATTCTTCTGTCTTAACGCATAATTCCACTACTAGAAAGACCAGTACATGAAAAGATATTAGAGATGGTCTGACAAGAAAATTGCCAGTACATCACTACATAAGCAACCTGTGCATGTTTTTTGTTTATCACTGGCTTCCCAAAGCTGCCCCACTGATGGCCTTCAGGCCAGACATGTCTTGACCAGTTACTGAGATGGCCCAGCATGTGCTTTATGGGTCTAACACTTCTTCATTCCTAAACCATAAACTAAGACAATTAAAATGAATAGCCTCAGTTTTGGTGAGACAGGTAAGAGCTACTAGCATTCTCATATTGTTTTGGTGCATGGGCTCACCTGGAATTTGTGCTATTGTAACTAAAAGCTGAATCTGGGAAGTACTAGGCATCTGCTTTATCTGAATAATTAAGAAAAAACCTCTTATACAGTGTTCCATGTCAATTAAATAATTGTTTAATGAAATCTCCCATTACCAATAGTTCTTCAGAGTGCTATAAATGCTGGCCATCTCAAAATGCAACAGTTAAATAGCTGACACTTTAATTTGTGCTGTTAATAGTGTTTCGTTGCATTTTTTAACATGGAAAGAATATGGTCTTTGCAATGAGGTCGCAGGATTAAAACACATAATGCACACTGCTGTTTAGTGATCTGCTATTGCTAATACAATGAAGAACATGCATGTGTGTTCACCTGTACTTGCAGATTTCCAGCTTTACACAGCGTACCCACATCAGTGGAATTTTTCTTCTCCCTACACTTGGGACCCACTGTTCAGTGGGGTTCTCTGTGCTGAGAAACGGAGAAATGAGATATCCAAAACAAAGAATAAACTCATGGCAGAAAATGCAGTAACTTCAGCTCTCTCATTCCTCTCTGAAAGCCAACCATGGGAAACTATAGTGGGCTGCAGACAGTCAACTAAATAATTTATGACATACAGCCCATTCCTGAATCATTCTTCTGTCGTTACATGTGCATTAGCACATGGAAGCCCAACACATGGAAAATCTTATTTGTCCTCAGAGAGAAAAAAGTCCCCCACCGTTCCACTACCTCAAGCTAGACAAGACCTTTGACTACTCTGAGCCAATACTACTATCTTCTAAACAATTTGTGCTACAGTTTGCTCTAACTCTGCTGAATCACAACTTGCGTTTTAAATACACCTTTGAAACAATCATTATACCAACACAGGCTTTATCTACTACACTCATTGCTTGCATCTCAGCAGACTCTTTATCTACTACACTCATTGCTTGCATCTCAGCAGACTATTCCTCAAAAATTTGTCTTTGTTAAACATGGCGTTATTCAGTGCTACCTCATTCCTAGTCACAAAACTTTCAAAAATTAGGGAAAAACCCTCATCTAAGACTGCCTGCTACCTTAAAGTACCATATTTCATTTTTACATGAGGATTTCCATTCCCCCAGATTTCAACTGATTACTATGGACCATGCAAAATGCCACAGACCACAGAAGCTACATGTTTGAATGGATGGTTTTATTGATTAATCAGGCATTGAACCACGTATTGTAAAATAAACAGATTTTGTTTGTTAAAAAATGTCCAGAAGAACATCATTCATAGCAAACTTGCTTCCTCATAGTCATACAGAATATGAAATTGTGAAACAAACAAGAAAAAAGGAACACCTGACTAAATGCTGTCAGTCTGTGTGTGTGTATATACGTAGGTATGCATATACACCAACTACACACTATATTTGTGCACATACTGGTGTGTGTATACCCATACATATATACACAAACATGTATGCACAGAGAGTACTGACTGAATTAATAGTCCACTGGAGAAATGTGGCTTAGCTCCAAATGAAGTATTCTGTGTTAAAATAAAAATGATACAGCAGAGTCTGTAGATAACAGACCATTCTTTTTACACTGGCCAAAATCATGATCTGTCTTTAGATTCACGGTCTGTCTTTACAGTAAAAATATGTGAGATCACTGGGGATCTTTCCAAATTCATGGTATTACTTCCATCCAGCTCAATCTCTGCCAGCATTGTATGGCCAAACATTGAACAGGGGTTTCAGTTTATCCAATACTGAAATCAGTTTCTAGATATTTCTGGCAAAAGGGAAGATACACAGCCGTGCTACATGTACTTCGGTAATATACCCTTTCACTTTAGGCAGAAACTTGGCAATAATCCTACATTAAAACTCCCGTCTCCTGCATCTTTTTATCACAGCTTTGCTTCAGTCATCTCCTGTAAACTCATTACAATAAGGTTCACACTACCTTCCAATCGTCTCAGGGCAGATCACTGGGGCAATGTACATCACACTGTATTGGTACCATTGTGCTCAATTGTGAAATGTAGTGTTTGGGGATTTGTTTACTTTTCATTTTTGAGAGTATACATTTCTTTATTATTAAAGACACTATGATAAAAACTTCAGCTCACTATATGTACACATTTTCCATTATTTATGTGAACTCTGGAAAGATCAGCGGCTCCTACCTGTGAACCATGGGATGCTGCCTCAGCTGAAAGCTATGGTACCAGCAACATACTGTCATATTTTTCTGTTTATTTCAGAAGGACATGTAACAGGAAATCAAAGGAACACAGACAGGCATTTATTTTCTATTAAAAAAGGAAAAAAACCAATAGGCATGTATGTATTCCTCATCTTGCTCATAAGTTTCGGACATCGTCATAAGGCAAACCGTAGTACAGCTTGGTACCTGGAGAATCGGTATTCAAAAAATCTGAAGCTGAGCTTGTGACTATTTCGCTTGGACCCATTAGTGAACAAAGTGCATTAAGGTATCCTTTACAAAAGACACCTAAAGCATGGTCATAAATTACTAAGGGAATCTTTTCTTAAACCTGGTATTTAATGTATCCTCTTCTACACAGGTAGATTTTCATCACTTGCATAGTAACAATAAAATACTGTAGGAAAACCATTCTTTTAAAGTTGTCATATGCCTCAAGCATCTCCCCAAAGGATCTTTTATATATAAGCATTGTAGTAATTACAAAGGGTTTCTATTCGTTAGAAGGAGAAGAGGGGAACAAAAAAAAAAGCACCTGAATCAGCGTTGAGATAAAGTAGGTAAAACCTCTACTGCCTTCACTGAAGTTCATCCACCAACACCAGGATGAATGTAGGACCTGCCCGTGCAGATTCCTACCACTGCTGAAAACTTGTTATTTACTCCTCATTCACAGACAGAACTGTGCTTTCCCAAACAACCCAGGACAATGATAACTGAGCAAACTCCAGCTGCAATGTTTCTCCATACAGCACATGTAAAACAGATTTCCTTGCTTTGTTATAAAGACTACATAGCGTACGACAATGAAACATTTGTATTTAATTTAAAATCGATGGTAAAGTGGCACATGTCTCACTTCCGAGTTGTTGGCTGGGCTTGCTATGTTGAACCTAGTAAAATCAGCAACAAGCATTCACATGTCTACCATCAGAACCGTGACATCTTCTATTACAATCAAGCCTTAATGATGCCGTGCTTTATCAAACTAGTCTACAGTCAGACCTTAGATTGGCTGCTTTCCTCCAGTATTGCTGATTTTCAGAGATGGTATCAGTCTTTCACATCCTCAGTGATTCTACGTTTCACAAAGATGAAGGCGAAGCACTGGTAGATGGTAATGTTGCCATCAATAAAATAAATTGCCAGGTGATTTATCCACTCTATTTCTAGGAGATACTCCACACGATTTTATGAACAGAAAGAGCACTGCCCTGTGAACAGAAGTAAATTAAAATTTCTTCTTTTACTGTGTTGGCTAGCTCCATTTCCTCACTTGTTTATTTTTTGTTCTTTCTGGTCTGCACACTCCCATATGCAACATAGAAATTAGGAGATCTCGCACTCAGTAAGACTGGTGATGAGAGCGCCAATATTGGCATGAATAAAACCTGCAGCATGCCGACTTGTCCACTGCGCAGTTTTCATCCTTCCAACTTCCTGATTTTATCCACTGTAAAGTAAAATGATGTAAAGGGCTGACGAAACTTTAAGTAATAGGACCATCAATGTGCAAAACAAATAAGTCATTTTCCAGGTGTCCAAACCAGGCTTTCCCATCTCTTCTTTTTTTTTTTTTTGTTTTTATAAATAATTTATAAATCTTCCTGTAAGACACTAAATACAAAACCAACCAACCAAAATGAATTGCAAAGTTCTAAGATATTATTAAAGCCACTTCTTGTCCTTCCATACAAAGTACACAGTAAAGAGATTTTCTCCCCTTTTCAGTTCTGGCCAGATTCGGCAGTGACATCGGGGATGCCATGCGTTCCTACAGCTCCAGACAAGCTCCTGCGGGCAGTGGCCTCGCCGCCCTGGGAAGACACATCATCCTACCTTTAGGCTTTTAGCAGTCATGCAAGCTGTTCAGAGGAGTCTAGATGGTCAGGGATAGGCAAGCCAGTTATAATGGTCAAACACTTATTCCACACAGTGAACGTGGGGCACACCGGCTGCCCAAATGTAATGTCAAAAGTGTAAAGGTGTAGGGAGTTCAAAGCATCATAAAAAGCAAGGGAACCATTGTCATAGTCCAGCAAAATCCCAACCCGCCGGAGGTGAGGAGCGGGCTCGATGGGGATTTCTTTGCTGTTGTGCCGCACCACCCATGTGTTATTGCAGCGGCAAAGAACCCAGGAGGCAGAATTCTTCCCGATCCACTCGTGCTTTGGTGCTGACTTGTAAGAAATACCAATGGCATACCTGCAAAGCAAAAAACAACTCAAGGAAACAAATACTTCCTGCTGCTTTTCTTTCTCAGAGGACTCACAGGAATGCCCCAGCCTCTTACTCCTGATGGTTAATTTCTAATCAAGTGACATTTCACCGCAGTACCTGCACAGGCTTGATTAACATTTTTTCCCATCTCTCTTTCAGGTCTGAGAGGTCAGGGAAACTTTATTGTCCCTTGCATTGTTTTTAGTTTGGCTGCTATGGTAATTTTTTGGAGCACTCGCCTCTGGTATTCAAAAGGAAAGTTGTTGACTACTCAGCAACTCATGAGTTTAAATCAGTGGGCATCAAATTTCCACTACCAAACAGAAGAATACAGAGGAATTCATTGATTTTAAAATACATTGCGCTCTGTCAGCTAATCTGATCTCTCCTTGCTCCTTTAATATATGGCTCACAAGAAGGAATGTAAGAGTAAACATGAAAGAACACATTAAAAAACCCATTTTTGCCATTCCCAAATATGTTTTGCCAGATGCTGGTATGGTTTTTAAATTCAAATGAGCATTTTTGAGAGCGGGGTTTGGGCCAAGTGAAGCAATTTTAGGTGAAGACATTTGCTCTGAAAACCATAATTTATGACAAGATGTGCAGGGTAAAAAGATTGTGAAAATGTTCTCATTAATGGATACCAAGGGCAAATATCTGATTTCTCATATATAGCAGAAACGTTAAAGTTCTTCACGTACTAGAGACACCGCAGTATTTGTTGGGCTTTCAACCAACAGAGATTAATGCGCCATAAATTACTCCATTTCCATTCTTCAGCGCTGGCACAGGCAAACAGCATTCCTCTTGTTTGAGACAGTGGGCATACCTGACCACCTTACTGATTTTTCCACTCCATTAACTTCCATCATGATTGTTGCCTTTGAATCCCAAAGGATGACATCTCTTCCACTGACTAAAGGGCCCCTGAAATCCATCCCTGTATGACACACAGGATCATTCAGGAGCGGAGGAATGCACTCCTCCATTTTCTGCCCCTTGCTTTGCACCCTGGAGCATGGACCTACAGCACTGCTGCTCCCCACCCCCTACACAGAAGCTAATTTGACTTCCAGCCCTGTGAAACTGGATCATCAAATTGGCCTCATATTTTGTTGTTGGGGTTTTTTTCTTACTGAAAAATACTAAGATCTTTCAAGTTTAATAAAGAAATGATCCCACTTATGGAATATGCTCTGTTGAATAAAGCAGAGGAAAGTTTCTGACCTCTTCAATTTAGTAAAGTTATAAAATGTACTGTATGTGGGTTCAATAAACAACCATCCTGAATCATAAAGGAAAAGTCCTGTGAGGGCCACTAAATATAAAAATGCTTTATCTGGTAGACTTTGATCCAGAGTCCAAAAGGGTTGGAGATTGGGAAACTAGACTAACTAATAGTGTAAAAGTATACGTTTGCCCGGCTCTTGTACCATTCCCCATGCCTTTGCTACTGCTGTCTGTCAGAGAAACTGAGCTGGCACCTGCACGGCTCTTTGGTGTGAACTGGTGATTCTTTTCACACATATCTTTATATACATACCACGTACTCCCACTTATGACCACTTCCCAGTAATGCCGCCCGCTGTCAATGAACACATTGCCAGCTACTCCGTCGCTCCGGTGTGTGACTCTTTTTGGAGGATGTTTCATCACGTTCTACTGTCAAGTTATCATGAGACACTTTCAATTTTCTGTGAGCAGATTTGGGATCCAGCTTAAATGGCTGACCTAGAGAGGCAGAGACAAAGATGGCAGAAGAATGGTTTGGCTTTGATTTTGAAAAGGAGGGTGGATTAGCAAGCCTCTAAGAGGCCCACAAGATTACACAACCATATTAATCTCCTCCTCTGAAGAGTTCTTGAGAGAGACTAACCTATTCTGCTCCTTGCAATAGCTAGTTTGCATTGTCAGTTTACTGTCAATCTCATTGTGCACTAACTTCCCCGTGTTGATAATCCTTGAAAAGAGCCCTGCATAATCATCATGCCCATTATCTCTGACCTAGAGGTAACCTGAATCATCTAATACTTGCATGTAATTGAAACCAATATACATGCTAATAAAGGTCTGAGGGTTGCTTTTTTCACAGCGTATTTGAGTTAGAATAAGTTGCATTCTATTAATTCTTTAGGGATAAAGCTTCATAATAACATCTTCATTGTTACTACAAGAAGGATGATTTCAAATCCCACAAAATGAGTTTGAAAATAAGAAGTACTGGTCTTGTCTGTTTGTTCCCTCACGGCTTTATTTATAACAAGCACGGTCAACAATTCAGGATCACTTTGGAAGGGTGCCCATGTGGTGCTGGATACTGTGCATTAAAAAGAAGGAAGTGAACTGTAACTTGGTCCAGATAATATGGTGTAAAAACATTGCTGAGGCTGTTGCTCTTGGCAAGTGCCTTTGGCTGAAGCAGGAGGTTTGTAGACAATAACAGGAAGCTTTTTGGTAAACCGAACCCTGTAGGTACGTGAAGCCTGTCACAATTCTGACAGGCTTGCTCATTGTGTCGAAAAGCAGAACGATCATTTACCTCCATCAGGAGACGGCTAGGACAGTATGACTCCACCAGTGCTCCAGCAAAGCCCTTTTGCCTTCTTACTGTCTTTCATATCAAGGGGAGGGTGGTGGGTGGGGTGGGGCGGGAAAAAGGTAAGCTGAAGATTTGATGAAATGCACAGAAAACAGAAATGAGTGCTCTCATGAAGTCCGTGTGAGGCACTGACACGTATGCTTCAAGTAAGATGTAAACCGTTCAGAGTTACTCACTTTTGCAGTGTGTGTTTATTTATGTCTTATGACCAAGTATAAAATAAACCCATTGGAAAGTATCTGGGGGGCAGATTTTACCTGCTTTTTCTTACTGTTCAGTACCAGTAAAATACCTATAGTCCACCTTTCTACCTGGTTAGTAGCCTTTGTGTTGCTGAAGCAGTATCTGAAGGGTGTATCTGTACTGAATTGTACCAGGTCACATAATTTCTCAGTTACCCAAGAGATTGTTTTTGTGCCACACTGGGTCAAAAAGAGACAAAAGGAGGAAAGATTGCCACTTCCAGATGGGTCCACTGGTTATGCATTCGCTTGTAGGTTGCTGGGTTTAACAATACACAGATCCTTGGTAAGAGATGTGGGGCTTGTACAAGCAGCTTTTACGCAGAAGCACAAGCCAGGTTAACAGCAGAAAGGAGGAAAGCAGAAAGGAGTACATGCCATTCCCTGCAGCCTCCTTGTAACACTCAGTACCGCCCCCGTTTGAGCACTATCCCCTAGAGTAAGTAGGTTTCAGAGGGTGCACAAATCCCAGTGTTCCCTTTTCAGTGCTCAGAGCTGCCCGTGGTAAGTACGTGACTGGGGGATTGGCTGGGACACAAGAAGAAAAAGGCTGAAAACCAGTCCTGCAATTGCGATACTGCATCTGCTAATAATTTGTGTAACCATTGTTTTTTTGAAGTGGGATCTCTGGCTACTCTATCACCTTGCTGAACTGCACAAAAAACTGAGGGGGATGGAGCTAAGAAAGTTTCTGAACGTGCTAAGAAAGAGGTAATTTTGGAGGATAAAATTAAACTAGCAATTATCTTATGAACACCATACAAAAATAAAACGTTCTATTGCAAGTGTAAGAGAAGTTTTGCTTTGTAGAGGAAAAAGAATAGAGAGGACATTGAAAGAAAACCACAAAATAGTATTTTCAACCATTTCACATGTGATCCTCTGTTCCTAAATGGTATTTCCAGTGACCAAACTACAGCTGCATCTCTCAAAAAAAAGTAATTTCTGCACTACTGAAGACCCTGGCAATATTGAACTGAGTCAAATAAGTGGCTTTCATTGTGGGAAGCACTTTAAACAAGTTAAGCTGCTCTGCGCTCTTGTGCCTTCCAAAGATCAAACCTGAAAAAGAAGGCAAGGAAGGAGAAGAATGCAACATGGGTGTGCCAGTTCTCACGTTACTCACTGTTTGTCTTGAGCTTGCCGGGCTCGCTGCTTCTGCTGCCCGCCTGATTAATGGCCTTAACAATGAAGATGTACTTAGTGCCACTCTGTAACCCGTGCACTGTGTAGTGGTTTTGTTTGATATTGGGAACAATCATCCAGCTGTCGGCTGAGTTGCATAAACCTGCAATTTCAAACAGAGCACATTAGTCATAACATACCAAATGTTTTGCAAGAGAGGAAAGAACATTTAGAGCACTCCCGAGCACCCAACAACCAACACAAATTTTGCTTCTGTACCTTTTAAAGTCTTGGTACACCTACTGAGTCGTTACTTAATCCCACCAACTCACTTCACCAGCCCTCAGCCAAGGTACCTTTTAAGTTCTTGCTATGTGAAGTCAACCATAAGAGACGGACATTTAAGAAATGACTCAGTGGAGGCACAAGCAGTCCGACTTATCATATCCCAGCACAAGGAATTCTTTATTGCTTAAGAACTAGAGGATTATGGAGATCCCATCAATCTACTGTTTGGATTAATGAACTCAGTTTAAGCCTCAGAAAATGAATGTAAGCAGTAAAGTTAGGAGGGATGGGGAGGCACCTTTCCTGACAGTCCCCAGGTATGCATTCTGCAGGACCTGAAGTAAATCATGGGAGGCCAAACAGGGTAGAGCATGGGTTCTACAGTGAGCATTGGCTCTTACACTCCTGAGTTTGCCAGGATGTAATCTAAGACAGTAAATTTAATGGATGCAGCTTTTTGATTTATGTCCTTATGATCAGCTGGGGAAAAGCTGCGTAATTTTCCAGTTACAAACTTTTTGGGTACATTTGATGCCTACCACAGAAGTATAATATGTAAAAAGTAAGTAAAATAAGGAAGGAGCAATATCATCTGCAAAACAGGAAAATAATCCATTAAGATGAATTTATTCACCTACATAAATTTTTCCTACTTTGGTACAACTGCTATGGCAGTCAATCACCCATATTACTTACTGCACATTTCAAACAGCTCCTGGTCTAATGGATCCACAGTCTGATAGCTCTCTTATTAAAAATGTTTACATAAATAACAAATTTAACATTCATGAAGTGTATATATATGTTCACTACACTTTATATAACTATACAGCTATAAAAAGACAGATGCCAATGGAAGTGCATGCAGGCGTGTGCATGTGTAAGGCTGAAAAACTTAAAAGAAAAATACTTGACTGGATTAGGAACCTGACAGGCTTCTTGGTACCTATCTTTACTGGGCATAGAACATGTTATGAAAGCTACTGTGTTATTAAAAAACAGCTTTCAGCTTTTAACTTGTGTTTTACCAGCAAATCAGTAAGCACCAGTGAAGAGAATGTTTTAGAAGTCAGAAGTAATTTCAGCTCCACATATCAGGCAATATAAAGCCTTTATGTAAAGTAAAAATAGAAGGCTACTGGACACAAAACTTGAAAGAACAAGTCCTGTGATACAGGTTTACAGACTCGTAGATGATTCATAACCATACTGGGAGATTCCTTCCAGATTTGGGATGTGCTTTTTCTAACAAAAGATCGTTAGAAACAGAACTCATACCCCAAATTTCAATCTAAGAATTATGTAGTTTTTGCCTCGAAGTTCTCTTACATTACATAGCATCCTTGAGAGCCAGGCAGCTATTCATCCTGCTATGCACATGGATAACCGAGGCACAGTTTCAGGTCATCTCATCATCTAATGAAGAGCTGCAGTGCCTAACATATTTTTCTGGACTCTGAGAAGAGGCAGAAATTACTGAATAGTTTCACTTCTCCAGGTGTGAGCATCCTACCACAAGTATCACTCACTTCTTGGAACACAGACAAGGCCCAAGTGACTAGCATTGGTGAGATCTCTAACTTCAGGTACCTGAAACAAGGAGAGATGAACACACACACACCCCCAACCCCGATTTACAGCCTGGAAGTCCAAGTCTGTGGCTGAACTCACACACGGATTGTAGCCTTTGGACCGGGATTTACCAGAATAAGAACATTTCTTTGTTGCGGTTTCTTGGTGTAAAAAGAAAAAAGAATTCTAGTATGTTCCTCATGCTCCCACCAGTAAGCATCCTCACCACATGATTCTCTCTCAAAATCGTCTACAAGGGCTTCTGTTTGCTACACGTGGATAGAAGCAGCAAAGAAAAGCAACCTTGCAGCACTCTTTTTCTTAAGACCATTGAAAAGCTAGATCATATAGAGCAATTATTTGTCCATCTCCTGAAAAAAGAGAACCCAGTGTTACACCCCTTGAAAACCCCAGTTGTGCCTAGCACCTATAGTAAACTGCTATTTCACAACATCAATCCACATTTTGTTTCACTGAACTATGCTTACTGAATGATACTTCTTAAATCTGGGTGTGAATGAGCTTCCCGAGAAAGGAAATAAAAGCAGCAGTTTCCTGGCATGGCATATTCCACTGTCTGCTCAGAGGAACCCCCATCTTCTCCCAATAAAAAAATGCCACAGGTAAAAGCACAATTGTTCTGTAGCTGAACTACCACATTAATTTTGCATTAAGACCATCACTTAACTGACTCAGGTGCTACTGCAAAGTAAGTGTTAGAATCATAGAATCACAGAATCATTTGGGTTGGGAGGGACCTTAAAGACCATCTAGTTCCACCCCCCCTGCCATGGGCAGGGACACCTGCCACTAGACCAGGTTGCTCAACATCTCATCCAGCCTGGCCTTGAACCCTTCCAGGGATGGGGCATCCACAGCTTCTCTGGGCAACCTGTTCCAGTGCTTCACCACCCTCCCAGTGATGAACTTCTTCCTGGTATCCAATTTAAACCTCCCCACTTCTAATTTAAACCTGTTACCCCTTGTCCTGTCACTACAGACCCTTGAAAAAAGTCCCCCCCAGCTTCCCTGTAGGTCCCTTCAGGTAGTGGAAGGCTGCTATAAGGTCTCCCTGGAGCCTTCTCTTCTCCAGGCTGACAAAACAAAATGAAGCACCAGATTTAGAGGGAGTCCAGGATGACCAAGGAATAGCCCTCTGATCGGCTATTAAATAACATATGACAGTAAGTGGCATGAATCCAGAGAGTGGTGCTGGAAGTCTCTCCTCCTTCCACAACTGCACTTTGAAAGCAAAGGTCTATGGTAAACATAGGCTGTCTCTATATATATATAAAAAAAACCAAAACCACAGAATTGCCCAGATTTTTGCTAAATCATCTCAAAACTAGATTAGTCACTGCAACTCTCTAAAGGGCACATTTTTCAGGCTTGCATTACACTTTTTACATTACCCTCCAGAGGCCGATTGCTTCCTAATGAAGTACAAAACCTGGATATAAATAGATATATGAAGGAACTGTAAAGGTACAGTTGCATTGCTATGAGTCTCCTCTTCACGCTGTTCTTTCCTCCTGGGTATGTGAAATTATACATACCTAGTACTCACTACTCTATATATACACTTGCACATGGTAAATTATTGTATTATTAAATAGTCCAGTTAATGGTTAACTTAGATTTCTGTGTACAGAACGCAGAGCCACAATAATTTCAGGTATTCCTACAACCTGGCTTCTGCTGCTGGGATTAATGGCAAAATTCTCACAGGCAGGTGTAGATTCATCCCACCCTGCCTTGAACAAGGAGCAGAATTCCTGAGTTAGGACCTTGCCTACCCTAAACTCTCTGCACAGTCAATAAAGAGTTGGGAACCCTCTGACCTGAGTCGTGTTCTAGGAGAAAGCTCTATACTCTTTGATGATACGACACCTTGGGTTTCTTTAGCACCTCAGACTGCTGGTGTACAATGGATGCTGGATGTGCAGCGACTGACTCAGTCGCTTTGCTCGACAAACCTTGCTGTCCCAAAAAGCTAGTCTCTTGCCTCACACCAAGGGGCTCAGTGACGTGTCCATGTGCTTCCAAGTGAGCTATTTGATAACAGGCTTTAAATTGAGCTTGGATTCCAGAAATCTTGGGAATGAAGTTTTGATGGCGTCAAGCTACAAGTCCCAAATCCTTCAGAATGGAGAATAGCAACTAGCAGCCGCCAACTTAAACATTTAGGCATGAACGAATATTTTGTCACTACATCGAAAGAATTTGTCTCCAGTTCTGCCCTGCCAGGACAGCCCTTCTTCTCTGAATACAAAAGAAGATGGTTAAGAAAGGCCAGGGAAATGAGCAAGCAGCTTGGTAACTAACGCGGGCATCTGCCCTCTCAGCTCCCTGCCAGTGGCAGCAGGTTAAGTGGAAAAGCACACATCATCCGCTCACCGGCACAGGAGCAGGAGCTCAGGGTCTTCTATTGTACCCACTCCTAATCCAGGCTACATTCGGGTTTCGTGTTTCAAAAACCCAGGGCTTTTCACAGGGTTGTGCAGGTGGTAAAACAATGTATTTTAGAACTGTAGCCTACAAAAAATGTAGAGAATTTAAATTACATCCTGGAATGGTGCAGTGAGCACAGTGATATCCATACAGGATGTGTGAGTTTTCAAAACAAGTTTCTCAGAGTCTGGAGGTAATAATTTGTAAAGCTATTTCTCTGGTGTTGGCTGTTGATGCACTTTAAAAAACAGATGGGAAAAATCCCAGGGTGTAAATCCTCCTAAAATTTACACTGGTAGATTTTAATAAATTGTTATCCTCTTGAAAACTGGAAGAGGAGTGCAAAAGTCACAGGAAGGTTATTCAATCTCTAGAGCATTTTAATTATTTTAAAATTCTTTATTTAAACAAACTATTACCAATTCAAATTGGTAGAAAAAATACAGTAGGTGAAGGTACCAGATAGGTCTACACCCCAGCTCTGCATTCCCATGTGAAAGAAAACAATATACGCAGGATTTCTGCTAAACACATCGCATTTTTATTAAGAACAACCTTCTTTTTATGCTCTTCAAGAGGCAGGAGTTTTCATGGTTTTATCTCAAATTTGGTTTTGTGCCATTAAAACATACTCACTAAAACTATCAGTAGCAATCTGAAGATTGTAAGGAATCTGTGTTTAGCAAATTAAAACATGCAGAAACAGACAAAAGTTAGTATATTCAAAAATTAACTGGTGAATCATAAACTTACTGTTTTTCATGGAAGTTTGGGCTCCTAATTGTCTTACATGCTTCAACAAAATTTTATTCTGTGTTGTAGAAAGAGTAACCATGTAACACTGGG